CAGCAACGGTAGCAGCAGCAACAGAGATGAACAAAACAACGAAAAGGTTTATAGCAATGAGTCGATCGCCAGATTTGCTGCTGCAGTTGCTGCTGCACCAGCAGCAGCAGCTGTAGGAGCTCCTTCATGCTTCAGGAGCCTGCCTGGCAACAGCAGCAGCAGCAGCAGCAGCAGCAGTTGCTGCAGACATCGTGTTGCTTCTGCTTCTGTTGCTGCTGCTGTCCGTGCTAGTGAGCGGCGGCTTCGAGGCATCGAGCTGCCGTCAGAGAGCAGCAGCAGCGCAGCAGGAGCAGCAGCAGCAGGTGCTGCAGCGGTGCAGCTGCAGCAGTTTGCTGCTGCTTGGTGGGCTCTACCCTCCGTCGATACTGTCTGCAGCAGCAGCAGCAGCAGCGCAGCAATCTGCTCTTCTCTGGATGAGAGTGTTGCTGCTGCTCTCTTCCCGCCGAGTCCGCCGCTGCTGCTGGAGCCCCTTGTCCCTGAACAGCAGCAGCAGCAGCAGCAGCAACCTGAGCAGCAGCAGCAGCAGCAGCAGCAGTTGGTGGCAGCAGTCGCAAAGGCAATGAGGGAAACGCTCCCCAGCATGTATAAGCAAAGACAGAAGCAGCTGCAGGCCCTCGCGCTGCTGCAGCCTGAGGTGTACAGACACTGCACGGGGCTGCAGGTGGCAGCACGGATATACGCGGAGAGCCTGCAGATGCTGCAGCAGCTCTTCGAGCCGCAGCAGCAGCAAGAACAACAGCAGCAACAGCAGCAGCAGCAGCAGCAGCAGCAGCAGAAAGAAGAACAGAAACAGCAACAGCAGCAGGAGGAGCAACTGCAGCAACAGCAAAAACAGCAGGATCAACTGCAGCAGCAGCAAACACCCGAGAGTTCTGCAACAGGAACAGCAGCAGCAACAACAGCAACAACAACAGCAGCAGCAGCAGCAACAGCAGCAGCAGCAGCAACCCCCAGCAGAGATGCCCTCAGGGCAGCTCTGCTGCAGCTGCGTCAGCAGCAATCGCGTCTCGTTGGTGAGTTGATGAAGGGTATACGCGATTTTATAGGGCCCCTAGCAGGCGGTGCGTCGCGGGGGCCCCCCGGTGGGGGGGGCCCCCAAGGGGGCCTCACCGGGGGGGGCCCCCTTGGGGGCCCCCTGCGGCAGCCAAGCCGCAAACAGCAGGCGGCACTGCTGGCCGTCTGCGATAAATTTTTGGAGACATTTTTTAGCGGGCGAGTAGCAGCAGAAATATTGAGGGAGAGATGCATAGGAGCGCTGGAAGGATGTAAGCTGCTGCTGCTGCTGCTGCTGCTGTTGCTGTTGCTGCTGTTGCTGCTGGTGTTGGGGTTGGGGTTGGGGTTGGGGTTGGTGGTGATGGTGGCGGTGGTGGTGCTGGTGATGCAGAGGGTGATAGTGTTGCGGTTGTTGGTTGTATTGGGAATGCGGCGTTGCTGCTGCTGTTGCTGCTGCTCTTACTGTTGCTGCTGTTGCTGTTGCTGCTGCTGCTGCTGCTGCAGGGAATCCAACGGGTTCTGCGCTGCAGCCGTGTGTAGTCGATTCGCTGGTGCAGCGGGCAGCAGCAAACGCCCAGGGGTTGGCGAGGAGCAGCCTTGGTGTTGCCCCTGCTGTCCGTGTATTCCAATCCACTGTTTGCTGCTGCTGCAGCTGCAGCAGCAGCAGCAGCAGCAGCAGCAGCAGCAGCAGCAGCAAGATGAGCAGCAGCAGCAGCACAAGCGAAGGACCCTCTTCCCCCGAAGTAGGCATGGACGTTCGCTCTCCGCAAACGCTAACCCCAACCGGCAGCAGAAGCAGCAGCAGCAACAGCAGCAGCAGCAGCAGCAGAGACAGCAGGAACAGCAGCGGGCCTTGCAGGTGTCCCGGTAAGGCCTGTGACTGCTGTTCCAACAGCTGCAGCAGCAGCAGCAGCAGCAGCAGCAGCAGCAGCAACTGCTGCTGCTGCATATATTTCCCAGAGAATCGCATTGTCCGCTGCGCCCCTGCATACGTGTATAGCGGCTGCTTCGAGCTCATAAAGAACGCGATGGAGGCGACGGTGCAGCAGCACCTGCAGCAGCAGCTGAAGCAGCAGCTGCGGGAGCAGCTGCAGCAGCAGCGGCAGGACCAGCAGCAGGAATACTGTAACGAGCAGCAACAGCAGCAGCAGCAGCAGCACGAGCAGCAGCAGGAGCAGCAGCAGGTGCAGGAATGGGACTCTATGCCTGTCCGTCACTCCAGGTGTATATTCAGGTTGCCTTCTATCGGCGATCTATCTGCTAAAGGGAAGCAGCAGCAGCAGCAGCAGCAGCAGCAGCAACAGCAGCAGCAGCAGCAGCAGATAAGCCTGCCGCCGGTGGATATACACCTCATTTCCGCCGCAGACTCCGGGGTCGTCATTAAGGTACGTCTGTCTGTTGCTGCTGCTGTTGCTGCTGCTGCTTGTGCTGCTCATGCTGCTGCTTGTGTTGTTGCTGCTGGCGCTGCTTTCGTTGTTGCTGTTGCTGCTGCTGCTGCTGCTGCTGTTGCTGCATGTTTGGCTTATAACGTGACCGTCCCGCCAATATCGCTGCTGCTGCTTGTTCATCCCTTCTCTCTTGCTTG